ATTACCGGCCAACTTTTATTACAAAACCTCCCTGTCATCTGTAAAACACTGCACCATAAAAATCTGGTTTACCCAGGGTTCCTAGTGCATTGTGATCCGTGTTTGGAAACACCAAGGCCTCCGTTCCCCCTCTTGAAAGTTTGTGGGCAAACATGGCCTCCTCGGTACTCGGCACCGGCACCCAAGTGCTCATCATACACACGTATCAGGTGGTAGGGAACCGCCCCCTCAGTGCCAACCTCGAGCTGGTCTTGAGTGCAGTTTATTTTACGTGGAGTTCACTTGCTCTGGCAATAAACTTATAAAACACATCCATCAAGAGGTCGTTTGGTTTGTGGTTCCATTGTGGAGGGACCTGGTGCCACTGCTGGTTTATGGCAGGGGCGTACAGGGACAAACAATATACTTTGTTTTCTTTGGTTTAAAGATCATGTCAAGTTTTCAAGTTTTAGATTTGGATTTGCAAGAATCTCGTCTTGATTTTACGTGCGAAATTAAGAGGAAAAAAAATTGATTCTTCCATTTCAAAAAAATGGTTTGAGAGAGTAACAGTTTTATTTGCGCTTATTTTCATGATTTAACATTATTCATTAACATTTGCTCCTTGACATAAAGAGAGAATTTAATATCAGTATTTGACACTCACATGTACATGCAGTAGAATGTGCCTAGGGAAAAAAAGCTAAGAATTGATTAACAAAGTCTTTCTTTACTAAATTACTTTTTCAACTTAAATTAAAATGTCCTTTCTCCAGCTGATAATGCTATAAATTTGTAAAATTTCCCAACCTTTCCCAGCGACACACACGTAATGGTGCTAGATGTTCATACCATGCCAACAGCAGAAAAACAACTTCAACAAAACAACTTTAACAAGGAACTGATCAATGCTGATCACAAAAAGGAAAAGGCCCAAGGGCAAAACTTGTTTTGCCAGATCTATGAATTGAACTATAAATAACCATATCTTTATGCTTATTTATGTAATAATAATAGTATAACAACCATCAAAAGAAATCTCTGGGCCTTCTGGCCTTCATTGTTCAGTCACTCAGCCGTGAAGTTGAGTTATAATGAAAAAACGAACTTGTTGTCATTGACTTGGTTCAGTAGTGAATGGTAACGCTTGACTGCAACATCATAGTAGGTTGTTGCTACCTGATATGTGCCATTGTTTAGTCTCATCCAAGACTCGATTTGGATCTAGTTCCCCTTTTACAGCCAGTCCATGGCAAGCACGGTCGCTATCAACACGGGGAAGATCTGGGGGGGGGGGGGACAACGGGGCTATTGGCCCCCCCCCCCCAAAAAAACCGTAAAGTGGTCAGAAATTGCCTCAGATCGCACCACAGAGCATCTAGAATCCAGAAAAATTTTGGGGTCCTTATAAGCGGGCCCTAAACGCTACATTGTTAAAATATTGCCAGTCTTGGCAATTTTGGCAGTGCTTCAAAGGAAATTCTGAGTATACCGGTACCTCACGCGCATGCATTAGTTTGAATACAGCGCGTGTGAGGTACTGTATTCTCGGAATTTCCTGTGAAGCGCTGCCATTGTTGCCAAGACTGAATTTGATTCATCTTGTTAGAGACCTCCACCGCAACATAACCACGCTTATCACGGAACTGGCTGCAAAATAGTGGAATAAAAATCCAAATCCAGTCTGGTACCAAGACTAGTCGTTATTCAAATTTGTAACAGATGGTTTCCCAATGTACACTGAATATTCACCTAATTTTGCCCTTTTGGGATTGAGGAAGTAATCAGTCATTTTTTGATTTATATTTGGACAATCAAATAAAAGTTTCTTTCAATTCTGCTTCATGGAATTTACTTTAGAGTTGAGTCATACCTGTACGATCAAAATATTTTCTTCTATGCACTTTGCAAGAAGTAGTTTGCAAACCACAATTTTTGCTTCCTGAAATTGAAAAGGAGATCTCTACATCTGTACATCTGGTGAGTCATTTCTGAAGCCAGATTTGTAAACAACTTTGAAAACGCTGAAAACGTGTTGTTAACTTTGAACTCAGTTGAAAGGAGAGAAATATTTGCGTGAAGTCAGCTGAAAAGTTCCAAATCCATAGAACTTGAGAAAAATATTCTAGAAATTTGTCAATTTGCTCTAGGGTATCATTTTATATTTGTCATCAATTCAGTAGTGAAACTGTGTTTAGGGTTAGTAAAATAGTACACAATTGAGAATTTAAAAAAATTGTATTTATGACATAGTAAGTTGAGTATTGCAAAACTTTGTGACATAGTAAGTTGAGTATGTTTTGCAAAACTGTCAAGTAAAAGTAAACACTTCACGCTTCTTCGCTGCGCTCATCCTCTTGAAAAACAGTTCAACTCTTAATGCCCAACATCAGAGACATAATATTTTTTAATTAATAATAATAATAATACCGGAGTCTTATATAGCGCACGTGTCTACCGGTAGGTACATGTACATGTAGGCCTACTCAAGGCGCTGTCTATTATGTCTATTTTAGTAAATGAAGATTATGAGCAAAATGAGATCCATTATGCACATGAGTGTAGCATAATGACCCATTATGATCTTTCAGATCAGAATTTTCCTTTGTTTCACGAGGATCAATACTGTTCAATCGGTGATCAAAATAGTCTTTTAGTTGATCAAACAAGACCAGTGTGGATCAAACGGTTGATTTGTTTCATAATCTGATGAAACTATTAACACAGAAGATTCAGCTATGTATATTTGACATGATGAACTGATGATCAAACGGAATGGAAGAAAGCAGTTTATTGTCAGTTAATGCAAAAATGATTAAATTTAAAGTAGAGGTTGGAATTGAAAGTCATGTGGTGGAGGCTAGGCGTGAGGGAGACCCTCTGTTGAGCAAACAATTCAAATGCTATTTCGACATGCCCACGTCACGGGGGAGGCGGCTTCGACGCATGTCGCCCGCTTCGTAGGCCATCGCATGTTTCGCACACGATCAACTCAAGAACGCACTCAAACATAGCATACTGATTGAGAAGCATGTCCGTATGCCTGAAGTGCAGTCATGTCATTTCCGTTTCTTATAAATTTACCGAAAAATCCAAGACCACAGACCTTCCATCATGATGTGTTTAGCAGCTTTCCAATCCCCTAAAGCCAGGTTGAAGCATGTTACAGGGGGCAAGTCAGAAATTAAAAAGTACCTTTACTCAGGGTCATCAGATCAAACAGTTACCGTGAAATCCAGGAGTTGCTACAACTTGGGTCCTTCACTGAAATAGTACAGACTTGTTGAGGAATTGTGTCTGATTGATAAACAAGATGTCAGACTTGGAGTGCTGGTGTTGAATTACATAGCCACCAAACCTTAAAAAAGTCATCAACATTTTGTCATATTTTCCCAGGTATAGGGGAAGGTTTTTCAGGTCAAATACAGGACCGGCATATACATGTGTTCAACTATCCAAAATCAACCAACAGCAACGTACACCTGGTTTTGAGATTTTTTTTTTGTACAGCTGTGACTGTTGCACTAGTTTTTCTTCAAACCAGGGATTGTACTTTTTATGGAGTATGTATGATTTTTAGGGCGCTAGGGTTGCAAAAAACTCTGCACTTGTCAATCTTGAGGAAAAAAGAGGATAAAGAAATATTCAGGATATGAAACCCTAATCTCAATCCCTTGCATTTCATTGAAACGGTGCATACTTTGTAAATCCCCCCCCCCCAACCATGGCATTGAAAAACATCAGAAGTTTTCAGCTTCTTGGTCCTGCCCACCAGTCTGAACCAACATGACTGCTGAGGCGTAGTAAAATAAAATGCTAATGATTGTGGTTAGTTTATGCTAATAAATGGTGTTAAGGTCATGGGTCATGGTGGTGAAGGTGAGGTACCCCTGCCCTGTCTAAGGTGACGGCGAACCTCTCAACATATTCTGAAGGAAACCAAAAGCATTATGGGTGCTAAGTTGGAGCTTGAATACTGCCAGATCAAACCACAGTACCGGTATGCTGAACACAACTCAGTATGCATGTGGAATTGTGACCCAGGTCAAAAGTTCATCGACATTAGAGGTCAAAGGAATTAGTTGGTCACCAGTGTCCTTTGAATGGGTACCAGGGAATATTTTCTGAGTGGTAGAGTTCACCAGATCATTACCTGATGGAGCTTGTAGTTGATAATCATGATGCTAATTGCTACACTGGACGTTGTTTTGTGGCCTTGTCTTTTACAGGAAACTATAAGGAAGTCATCATGTTTCGAAAAGACCCTTGAGGAATTAATCCATTACCTCAAGCATTTCCCATCTGTGAATGTTGTGTCTTGGGCACTGTCTCTTTTGCCTGTGAATGTCAGAAAACAATGACTCATTGTTACGGCAATGATTAAACACACTCAAAATGTGCCAAGACCTGGTTATGTCTTATCTTGTTATGAATACATTTCAGAGAAAAGATTGTGGTTTAAAACATAGTTTCTTGAGGAAAGCGCAAGATCATTGCAGTCTTCACTGTCTGGGATCAAGATCTGCTATTGAATAAATGTTGGATGAGCCTCTCTCTGTTTATTGTAAAATCCATCATCTACCGGTACATGTAGGACTGTATACAGAGCCTGCGGTTTACTATTTTTAATATTTTTAATATTTGTTGAATTTTGTTTCTAAGGAAGGGCCAAAACAAACCTTAACATTGAAATGTGAATGGCACAAGTTATAGTACCGGATATTGATAAAAGTGTCTAGTGAAAGTGAACAATCTTGAACACTTTTTTGGAATGATATTTTTTAACCATGGCATAATTATATCCATCAACCAATACAATTTCCGAAACTTCAAAAGTGGGTAATCACTTTTTCTCAATCAAGGCCTTGGCAGTGAATTAATAACTTCCTGAATGTCTCCTTGCTTAATTGTTGTCCTTGATATCTTGTGTGGACATTGGTTTCCTTAAATTCTTTTGGGCAAGCTTTTTAAGTTTTATTTCTCCGAAACTATGTTTTGTCTTTTTTTCTCCCTCTCTCTAGGCCAAAGATGATGACGCAACAAGGACATTTGATTTTCCAGACGGGAGATAATCACAACATCACCTTTCAACCGGTAGGCAGCGGCCGCGTGGTCGTTGGCAATCATGATCTCTTGGCCATGGCCGACAAGGTAAAACATTTTCTAATTTCACATTGTTTTGTTATATTTTGATCCCAATAATGTTGAAAATCTCACGACATTGAATTTGAAACAAGTTGTCTTGGTGAAGACATTTAAGTAAGAAAAACAGAAGAACTAAAAGTTTATCCTTCGTGATTGACTGAATATTAAAAAAATTCAAGCAATTTGAATTTGAAGCAACCATTGAAAAGTTTATCGGTCAGAGATACCCTGTACTATTTGTTCAAACTGACTTTACAACATACTTGAAATAAATATCTTGCATAGATCAAACACTCCTGGATCTTTTTGTGTCCTTTTATCTCAAACAAGAACAGAAGTCTCCTCTCTTACTGGTACCGTGTGGACTGAGTATACACTGTCCCACCTCTGTCTTCAGTCTTGTTCATAATAATCAGCTGATTTAACAAAAAATTGCCGCTCGCTGCAAGTTACAAAATCAGTACGACTCAACACCAGTCACAAAAATTGACGTAAATGTATTGTCACGTGCGTGACAATCCATCCAAACGACCTCATTGATAACATTGTTGTTAGTAATAAATTTTAAATTTCAGTTGTACAACATCGCAGACTGTATCACTGAACGGTACCAGACATCCCCAATTGCGTCATTTACTGCCCCAAACTTTGGAATCCCAGCTGAGTTTAGTTTTTCTGCTTCGGTCAGGTCATGTGACTTAATGCTAACAGTTCAAGTACGAGTATCTCATTGTGTAAAATCTTGACATCTTCATGCGCTGTAATTATAACAGTGTACTTCTTCAATCATTGAACTCCATGAACAACTCTCTTAACAGCGTTTTCATATAATTTTTGGAAGATTTTTTTTTAATAGAAGATTGAAGATGGAGACATTGCCAGCTAAAAGTTATTGTGGTTTTTTTGGCATGTGATAAAATTCATGTCAGACAATACTCAATAATGTTTCAATTTGAAGAAATGTTGGTATTTATGTATTAAAAACAAAATTTTGGATTTGGGTGTATTTACAGTATCGTTCAGTGACTTCAGTCATTGATTTGGATCTTGATTTCCATTACCAGTTATATCTGAAGTGATGCGTAGTACATTGTGTTTACAATTGAATTAACATAATGTTCTGAAGAACCTTGAAAGTAGGGAACTTGCACATTTGCATTAGGCCAAAAAAAAAGGCTCCGGTTTCTGGTATGTGCACGCGTCGCCGTAGCCGTGCACGTCGGCAAAATTATAAAGGTTTTTTTTCAATGTAAGATGATGTCTTAAACCACCAAACTCACTGGTTTGACTGGAATCCTGCTGCTGCACAATTTTAACGTGTTTTAGATGGGGTTACGATCGAGTATAAGCTTTATGTAGCCGGCCTCTCTGGGCTCCCATATATTTTGCACTAAATTTTAATAGTCGGGCACCTTTTCGGTCATCAGCCGACATTTGAAAGAAAAAAACCTTCAGTTTGCACCATATGCATTGAATACACCGGGCCATGAAATGAACCCTACAGACACTTGTTTGCTAGATACAAGTTTCCAAGGCAGCTGGTTTATGCCCCAAAGAAAGCAGCATTATTAAAATAGCCTTGAAACATGCAATAACTTCCAAGATATTTTACAAGATCTTGACCTAAGGGGGTAAAAGTAAACCATGTGGTGTCACCTTTCTCCCTTTGAGATTATTATGACAATGTTTGGCAAAATGACAACTCCCCTCCCTCCACTTATTGTGTTTACTGTTGGATTCTATTGTCGCTAAGCACACAACCTTTGGTTCTTAATCAAAGTGTGCGTTCTTGCAGTGCCCTGGCTGCCTATTAGAATATTTCTTTGTGTGGGGTGACCATAAAGTTTGTTGCTCCCATTCCTTACTCCCCTGGGTACACTTCAACCTCTGTCTCAATAGTAGATCCTGGTTGGTTGCCATAGAAACAACAAGTGTAGAAACAACTTACTGTTTTTAATTTTCAAATTATATTTCATAGTTAAAGGCTATATTTCACTTTTGCCATGTAGCCTCAATCCTGCAAATTCCTCCAATTTGCAAAGAGGATTTGGGAGGATTTGGGATGGTTACGATTTACGCACGTATTACAATGTACTGTATGTAAAGAATTTTAAACATTTGATTTTAAAAAGAAAAGTTTCTTGTACTCAACCTAGCTTATTCCCGTTTCAATTTTTCAAATAATATGTGCATGTTTAAAAGTATAATATATAGTATATAAGTCTGAATTCATGTTTAAAGGGAATATACATCATTTGCTTTTGCTGTAATTTTCAGAAATGGATGGAATTGGGGGGTTGGAAATATAAAGCAAATATAGTTACACTGACTTTTTGGAGGTTTTGGGTTCGAAAGTGCTATAAAAACCAAGAAAAACGATCATTTTCCTGTAGTCTGGTCCCCTGACTCCATATAAGAAGAAACAGAGCAGTTTACATACATTGGGGAATTGTAAGGTCAGGGAACCAGTCTAGCTGGCTCGTACCCGTTCATAGGTTTGTAATCGATTGCAAACAAGTGCAATGGTCAATTGGGGCCAGTATTTGAAAAAAAAGCCAGTTGTTTCCAACGCTGATCGGCCGATCAGCGTTGGAAATTGATACAAAAATACCACTTTTCTTGAAAATGACAGTATACCAGGTGCCATAATTTTACAGGATGCTTTAGACTGTCATTTACCAACATCCTATTAAGGTATTTCGCAAAAACTTGGTAGTTTTATTTTTCGATGTTTGCAAATGTTGTATATTCCCTTTAATTAATAGGACTACGCGTATGTGGCAAAGATTTACAAAGAATCACATTAACACATTCGTAATCTTTGAATGCAGAGTCCGGATAATAAAAAAATCAAATTCCATTTTCAACATCCCAAGTAAGTTTGCTGGCGAGTGCAAGTATGTTTGTTTAACTGGAACATACCCCAGGATTTCGCAGGATGCAGAAGGCATATTATGACCAGCCAATCCAATGTAATGAATATTTTAATTTGTAAAAAAAATTGTCAAATGTTACTTTTCAAAATACATACAAAATATAAATAGTGAATTTTCTGTCAGACTCATGTATACAAGAACCTTCATTCCCTTTTTCTGAATTTCTTTCTTTCTAAATTCCATGGAATTTAGTGCTCACTGTTATTTTTTGAAATCTCTTAAAGTGTAGTAGAGCTCCAGAAAGAAAGAAGAAAGAAATATATCTTCTTTTTTTGACAATCAGTTATGAAAGCAGCCATTTATCAGACCAGTGTGGACAAAGATTTGGGTCATAATATGACCATTAAGTGATAAAAATCCAGGGCCTTTTTATGCCGTGTCACTTTAAACTGCCTGAATTGCAGCTTATCTACTCCAAACACTCCACCTCATCTTTATAGCCCCGGGCTATTGATGTTTGACAGGCTGGAATCGTGTTTTACAAGCTAGCCTTTCAGGATTCTGTGTCAGTTATTGTGAATTGACGTCTGTTGTTTGCTGAGTTGAAGTTGAAAGCTGCACGTATTTATTATTCACCCCTCGCTCTGATAAAACTGATTTTTATGTATTTTTTACACTAAGGAAATCATTCAAAGTATGATGACATTTTGCATGATTTAAAGGTAATGTGCAACATATGCAAACATCAAAAAACAAAAATACATGTACCAAATCAATATGAAATACCTTACTTGACTGTAAGTGAATAAAAGTCTCAAGCATCCTGTGCAATCATGGCACCTTGTGTGCTGTCATAATTTTCCAGAAAAGTGGATTTTTTTTAACAAATTTATTAAAACGAGGGTCAGCCGACCATCGTTGGAAAAAACTGACTTTTTACAAATACTGCCCACAATTTACCAAATTTAGGTAGTCCACATGTTGTTTGCAATCTGTTACACATCTGAGAACAGGTGCAAGCCAGCTAGTCTGGTTCCTTGACGTGACAATTCCCTGACGTTTATTAATTGCTCTGTTTTGTCTTAAAGAGGGGCAGGGAACCGGACTTCAAGAACAAAATTTTTTTCTTGGTTTTTCAAGCATCTTGCAAAACTTTAAACAGGTCAGTGTGACAATATCTGCTATTTATACTCAGACTCAAAAATAAACAACATAAGAGACAAATCAATCATTGAATTTATGCTGCAGCCTCAGAAGAATGTTTTATTCCCGATACAGACCAGTTACATCAAGGATAAAGTGGAATGTTATAGAGACAAATTAGGCGGTAGCCATTTTGTGCGGTGACATATAAGGTTTGCGCAAGTCGCTCTCAGGTAGAACACAGTCACATGCACTCTGGGCTCCTTCGACCAATAGGGCAAAAAAAAAAATAGTTCTGCTTCCGGTTTCCCTACCTACCCTATTCTGACAGCCCCTACCCTAATTTTTTTATTGGAAAAATGAGGGAAAAAACACCCAAAACCATCAATCTCTACCTTTTACCCTTGACTACCCGCAGACGCCTTCATATGATTGTACACACAAAAAATTGGCAAAAAAAAAAATTATTTCCCAACCTACCTACCGTATTTTCAAATGCCATGTAATCGGAAGCAGAAATATATTTTTTTTTAGCCTAGGAATACCAAAATGCACTTGCACTTCGTATTTAAGAACGCGAGCAGCATTCCGCAGTAAAACCACTGTGACAACGTGAGCGTGACACCACTGCAGTAAAAGCTTCTAATTCTAGTGACCGGATTCCACTATACAGGGGTCAAGACAATAATTTGAATGGGCAACACCAGGCCCAATCAGTAAAGGGCAACAACAGGCCCCTGGGCAACACCAGGTGCCCAATGCCAAAGAGGCATGTACATGCACATGAGCAAAATGCAGTTTTAATCACACATGGATTAACCCACAATAGCTTCTAACCGATGTTACATTCAGTCAGGAAAACATAACCTCGGGACACTTTGGAGCGCTATGGCAACTAATTAAATTTACATAATAAATAGACATAACCGTAAGTGTTTTACTTGCCCCAAAATCTGAGGAATTGGGTTACTGGCTGTCTGTAGCCGT